CGTGCTCAAAGGTAACCCTCTAAGGTGAGGGGAGCACTGCTAAACTCACCACAAAAAGAGAGCAGCCTAACAGGGAGGCCGAGGAAGGCCTAACAACCCAAGGCTGCTGCTCAGTGGAGCTCCAAGGAGCGGAGGACCCAATGAGAGGAGTCCTCAGACGCTCAACAGGGAGTGGCATGCTCAAAGGTAACCCTCTAAGGTGAGGGGAGCACTGCTAAACTCACCAACAAAGAGAGCAGCCTAACAAGGAGGCCTAAAGGGGCCTAACAACCTGAGGCTGCTGCTCAATGGCTCCAAACACATACAACCATACCAGTATCATCAGAGATACATAGGAGAGTGAGCCCCAAGAAGGATCCGGGGCCTGAGACAACTCAGAGAAAGGGGACGAGGCAGCATCGCATCACCCTCACCAAAAAGTTTTAGAAAGGTGCGCAAAGGCCCAGCGTGCGCATCTACCATGATTATGGAATTAAAGGAAGTGCACAGAGAACTAGCGTGTGCACCTGACATGACAAGACTAGGCTCTAAGCAGAGAAACAACCAACTCCAGGAGCGGAAGAGACCATAGAAGCTCAACTGGGAGCAATATGCTCAAAACAAACCTCGAAGAAGAGAGCACTGCTAGGCTCAACCATAACAGCAGCCAGGACAGGAAGGCGAAAAAGAGTCTACTCTTCTTTTCCACAAGAGTAGAATAACAGGCATGCAGAAAGCCTAACGACCTGCAACCCCTGAAAGACATAGGCCTCAACCACAGCTTCTCCACTCCAGAAAGTGAAGAACTCACTCAACAGAAAAGAGGAGAACTCAGAACTACATAGGGAGCGGTATTCGAGGGGAGCATACAGGCTCAACCAAAGAAGGTAGCCCAGCAGGGAGGCCAAGAGGCCTGACAACCTGAAGGCTCCGCCTAGAGCATCTAGAGGGGCAGAAAACCCAGCTCTCCAAGGTTCTCTACTCTCTCTGCGCCGTCCTCTAGACCTGCTAGTCAAGCCTTGCCGTGGCGCGTTCCATAACCTCAAGCAGCTCCTCGTACGCAGGGCAGGAGGTTTGAGAGGACTCAGTCTCAACTTCCTCGTCCTCATCTAACATCTCCTGCTCTTCCTGGCCGGGAGCCAGCAGAGCACTAGCTGCAGGATCAGATGACGTCAGAGAAATAACGTCATCCTCCAACAGCTCACTCTCGTCCGTAACCGAAGAACGAGTAAAGGAAAGCCCCTTCTTCAATTAATCGGCCAGGTCCACCTGAGAACCCCATGAACTCAGTTTCCTCTGTACCTCAGCAGTGGCAGGTCCTGAGCCCCCGGGAACCAATGGCTGCCCCTCTTTCCTCAAAAAGAGGGCCAAATGAGAGTGGAGCTTTCTCATGGACAAAAGCTCGTAATGAACGCATGCTGCCCCCTCTAGGACGTCATGCGCATGCTCCTCGCCCAAACACGCGACGCAAAGATCGTGTGTCATCAGGTGTCAGATAACGCTGACACAGATCCACACACTTCTTAAACGCCTTGCTTGTGCTGGTGCTCGCCATGATAACAACAAACAGAATCGTGTTCTCACCAGTATGCAACTCCAAACAAACAGTCGTGAAGACGAAGAAGAGGATGACGTGTTCTACCGGCGCCCTTTTATACTGTCGTCATGCCGGTAGTGACGTCATAGTCTGTCGCCGGCCAATATTATTGTTGTGTTTAGATTTATGCTTCAGACACCGGTCACGTCGAAGGCGTTCCCCATAGCGACCCCTAGAGGACGCAGTTCGAAGTTCCCTCGGAAGGGAACTAGAAGGGAATGAGCCCTTTTCAAACTGTGATGACATGTTTCCACACTTATTAACATTGTAAATGTTAATAAGTTTTTAATATTTTTATTTTTTTTAAATATAATATATACATAGTGTTATATTACCTTGTCATTACATTTCAGAAAACTAGTTAACACTGCTGTGTGGTTGTTTCTAACAAATTTGACATCTTTCTTTCATCGGACCATCATAATCTCTATTTATTTTCTCTTGTAGAATTTTTTTTTAGTTTTGATTTTTGAGAGGATTATTCCTTATTTCTTCAATATATTTAATTTTATCTTGCTTTTGGGTGAAAATAAACTTGCAAAAAAGTCCCTTTTTCAGGATACTGTATTATAGATATAATTTTATAAAATCCAAATAAGCTTTACAGATCTTTATTAGAAAGAGTTTAAACAATGTTTTTCATGCTTGTTCAGTGAACCATAAACAATTATTGCACATACACCTGTGCAACAGACCTTACCAAACTAACAGCTTACAGGCGGCAGGCAATGAAGGTCACCCTTATAATAACTTAGGGCATTGAAAAGACCTTTCTACTGACTCTGAAAAACATCAGAAGATGCCCAGGGTCCCCGATCATGGTGTGAACATGCCATTGTCCTACTGCTGTTTATGTCTCATACGTTGGATCTTTTTACATTCATACAAATATTTTTTTTCTGCTGAGGTTATACAAATATTCTAAAAACAATAAAAATACAGATTAGGAATATATTAGGTCTTTTGCAGCACAATTCAATTTATTACTGAATAATTGCATTTGCATTATTATTACTGAATTGTTGCATTACTGAAAAGGTTAAATTTATTTGTTCTTCCCCATACAAATATCTTTCAGTATATACTTCTTTTGTGAAAAAGAATGCATCATAATACAAACACAAAATCATTTTATTGCTATTTACAGTTATGGACAAAACTAGCATATCAGTCTATTACATTTATTTCTAACATTTGCTTTCCAAATTGACATCTGCACTTAGCAACTCAATCCAAGTACTGTAATTTAGATTCAGACTATGTACAAATAGAGGTGTTCCTCTGCTGGTGATGAGGTCCTGTAGAAGTCAATGTGAACTTAAAATCCTTCTCCTCTGAACATCAAGGGCAAGACCTTAAAACATCTCCTCAAACAACATAAAACTTTCTGTAAAGTGTAAAGCCAACCAGGCTGTTGGACACATCAGTTTGGGCCTGTGGGAAATTTGGGCTAATCTAATGCAGATCTCACTGTACTGAACATCAAAGGCACTGAAACCTTAAATGAGAAAACCCAATGACTTTGAGGAAGGAGAGATGGACTGCATTTCAAATGTCTGAGGAAAATCGCCTGATTACAAATGTATTGCTTTGAAGCTGGACTGATCGTGGTACTTGTATGTTACTATAATTGTACCGAATATATTGTGCACTGTCTCCCCCTGGTGGATGGACTTACACGCAATTACACCACAGGGCTTGTAGTTTGGAGGTCTCAAATGTTACAAATAAAACATCAAACTTCATCCAGTCCTTTATTTCGCTTGTTAATCTTTCCTACAACATCCTGCAGTTGGCCCACAGTCTCCATCATGTGTCGGATGCTGTCTTGGACATTTCCCATTCCCTCTCGCCTCCATGAACGTCGCAGTTCCTCGATCCATCGCAGCACTTCATCCAGCTGTTTCTGCGTTTCTTTCTGCTCCTCAAGCTCAGCGAGAAGCGCTTGCTTGGCGCACACCTCGGCTTCATAAGCCTGCAGAAGCTCTGCAATGGAGTCCTGCAGCTTCATGAGGTCTTCTTTGCCTTCTGGGTACTTCTGATGCAGCTGGTCATCGGGCAGCAGGACGTTGTGAGGGATGGAGAGGACGCGGTCCATCAGCATCCCCTTCATGCGCTGAAACATGATTTCAAAGCGCTCCTGTAAGAACTGCCGCAGTTTCTGGGTGCTCTCTCGGGCTG